GATTCGTTAATATTCATGACATCTCATCTCTGATTGGCTAACAGCAATGTGACTCTTCCACTGCCTCCATTCGCTTTTTTTCTTGGGTAAAAAATGCAGTGTTGATGTTTCATCTCCACAAATAACCGAAGCCTGAACGGGTTCCACTATGTTATAGAGTTGCTAATGCTAACAGTTAGCTTCTACTAGCCAAGATGTGCTCTGCTCTCTCCTGAATGCTAAATCAACAACAGCTTTCTGTGGTCCCAAACCAAGGGGGCGGGGCCATGAATACTAATTTTCCCCATGATGAGAGACTGTCTTTTTCTGACCGACGCATTTCCCCGTCTGCTTTCTTTGGGTGGTTAAAGCAAGAAACAGGTGTAGAAGATTTTCTCGTTTAGCCTGCTCGTAAAACTCAGAGCGACCAATCATATTTAAAGGTGTGGAACGCTATAAACCCATTTCTAAAATCGTATTTCTGATTCCAACGGGTCACTCTGAGTGTTTCATGCAGGCTGAACATGAAAATAGTCTCCTACACCTATCTTAGCATTAGCTTCTGATAGAAAACAGACGGTGAAACTCTAGGATTAGAAACAGATCTATGTCACACTCTCACTTAACATTTATTTTTTCATCTTGACTCATGACAGGAAAGGCTGTTGTTGGTTTAGTATCCAGGAAATAGCAGAGAACTAGTAGAAGCTAACTGTTAGCATTAGCAACTCCACAACACAGCAGAACTCCTCCAGGCTTGTGTTATTTGAGGAGATAAAACATCAATGTTGGAGAGCAAACAGAGTCAGTGGTAGAGTCGTGTTGCTGTTAGCCAATCAGAGGAGAGATGTCCGAATATCAGGAAGTAAGAATGCCGTCAGTAGCTCTCCTCTGATGTGGCTCACTTCCAGTCCTGAAACAGGCGCATCTGAGCTTTTTTCCCCCAGAGTACGACTTACAAGGCATTCATTCCATACTAGAGACCAACTGCACATGTATTGATTAAAACAACACCTTTAAAAGGTAACAAGTCAAAATGTTTTCTCAGCGAACATCGCTTTAATGTTTGATTTAAGGATTTAGACCTTTTTCTTTTTACAGTAGAATCTCATTTAGTGAGTTTAACCTTTTAGGTTTGCAACAGCTAGGGCTGCACAATATATCGTAAATATATCGTTATCGCAATATCAGCATGCACAATATGCATATCGCAAAGAGATAAATATCGCAATGAATGGTCAGCTCAAATGTTTGCTACACATAACACATTATGTCAATCAAACGGAAGCATGATGTTTTATAACAAATCAAATAGAGCTCTTCACCCATTTGGCCAGCTGGGTGGGTTCTCATAGGTTAGAGTCCCGCACCCGAGGTGGACAGCACTTAATTTTGATGGTTAGCAAACACCTGAGTTAGCTTAGTTCTGCTCTTTCTGCTTTTCCCGGGATCCATTGATCGCCTTTTCTTGTTTCTTTCCTCACATCATTTGCTTTTCTCATTTTTATGATTTTTTTCCTTGTTTTTGATCATTTTTGTTCCTGAGTTAAGTTTTTATTTATCGCAAGTAATATCGTCATGGCAATATTAATCATTGTTATCGAATATCGCAGGTTTTCCTAATATCGTGCAGCCCTAGCAACAATATGAAACAACTACTTAAAAATAAAATAAATATAAATCCTAAATCAGCCTCACTGCAGAAAGACTGCATACAAATCTAGAAGAACATCTTGAGCTGACCTATTTAAACTCCTTATCCCTGATCTTTGCAACAAACAGGAAGCTGCTGCTCCATGCCAGCAAAGTCTGTCACAGACGCTGTTAAACTATAGTGTCATTATAGTGATGTTTGTTCTAACATGTGATCTTTGGTTTGTGTTACAGTAATCACAACACTTTTCACTCTTAGCATTTCCTTTTGTGTGACTGAGCACAACATGTGGTCAGGATTAGGCTGCGTGTTGTTCGGGTCCACATTCATCACAGGTGTGTCGGGGGAGAAGCCGTGCCAGCAGCCAGATGGGCTTGCTGTCAGGAAACCACAGACATGCTTGAAATTCTTTCATGACATGCTAACCTGGCACTTCCTAATATGGGCATTTTGTTCCTGGCTGCATTCCTGTCATCGGTAAGGAGAGCAGGAGGTGGTAAAATGTACGATGCAGCTGAAGCTGTAGGAGGAAAACAGGGCTGCAAACACACACCGCTGTACAAACATGTCCTTTTTTCTGTCTGATTAAACTGGAGTGGAACGTCTCTTGTTGCCTGCAGGGAAAATTCATCAGAATCAACTTTGACGTGACGGGCTACATTGTCGGGGCCAACATCGAGACCTGTATCCTTATTACCACGAAGGATGGAAGGAGCAGAGGGATGAATCAGAGTTAAAATAAGATGTGTGATAGAGAGCAGCCACAGCATGACGCTAATCCTCATCCTGCATGTTTCTCCGTGTAAAGGCGTCGGGTTCTAGAAAAGCACTGCTTTATTTGTTATCCCTTATTTTTATTAAAGTCTTTTTTCCTTCCTGTTGAGAAAAATAACAAAAATGTTTGAGACGTGGAGCTTCTCTGTCATAACACAGCTAGAACAGAACAGGTGCTTTTTTGTGACCATCTTTTGTTAAAACAGCCGTTTATGTTTGTGACCGGACTTCACGTTTGTCACATTTCAGTTTCCTTGCTCGTCCTTAACTTCCACCCTCAGATCTTCTGGAGAAGTCGAGAGCCATTCGTCAGGCAAAAGATGAGAGGACTTTCCACGTTTTCTACCGCCTGCTAGCAGGGGCTGGAGAGCATCTTCGAAGTGAGTGTGTGTGTGTGTGTGTGTGTGCGTGTGCGTGTGGCTAGAGAGTCAGATTTAATTTACTTCATCTGCACAATTCCAACCAGTTCATGTAAAGTAACACTGAGCAGTTTCCTGCTCCCCTGGTTGAAAGTGGAATTACACCTGTCGTAAACAACCCTGCTGCACCCTGTTGTAGCTAGCACTTTGAGCTAACACTAACACGAGCCAGCTAGTACAAAAATAAACCTCAAAGTAAAAAGATCCTCACTGTTGGACCAAAGTATTATTGCTTACAAGTCCAGTTGCAACAAAGCCAGGTCACCATCAGGCCATGATTTTGTAGCCTCCTTTAGCTCCCTCAAGCTAGCGTAGGCCGTGCTGGTTTTAGCTCTTTGCTTCACCTCCAAAGACATTACTCTCTTACATTCACTTTGAGGCTCCACCATGAGGCCAACAGAAAAAGCAAATGTCTTCTTTTTCTTCTTCTTGTGCTTGACGATCAGCAAACTGAAAAAGATACTAACTGGTAACAGCCGTAAAGCAGGTAGAGAACACCTACTAGGACACCTACCTGCTCCACAAAACTATCTAGTGCAGTTTTTGGTCAGCAGAGGGATGCAGAGTGGGGCCAAATATCACGATTCTAACCCAACAATCACTGAGATCAATGTTAAGCTCTAGTTTAAAAATCCATTTAGAGTCACTTTAAGCGTTATTCATCCGGAAAGAACATTTAAGAATGTTTAGCCCATTCACTGCCAAAGTCGTCATTTGCAGTTTTTTTACTGTGTGGGCGTCGGAACGAGCCCCCGTGTAGATAGAACAAACATCTGAGCTCTGAAGCCGATCTTCATCCGCTTACGTCACATGTCACGTGATCAGGAAGCAGAACATCCATGTGTTAGGAGATCGTTTTCGGCCGTTCCTGAAAAAAAAGTGAGGCGCGAATCAGAAAAGCGCCTGCCGATCACAATTCAACAACGGATTATGAAAGAACGGATAACGTTCAAACCACGCGGATTCTTTCTGATGTAAGAGGTGAGTCTCCGCCTTGTTTTGGTTGTTTTGGCGTCAACATCATCCTAGCGCGCAACGTTCTGTGACTCTTAAAAAACAGTAAAAACGGTGAGAAACGCTGGCAGTGAATGAGTTAAGTGGTTTACTCTGTGTTTAAAATAAGCAGACGTTAGGATACAATTACACTAGATAGCCTTCAGTATGAGCTGAATTAATGGTTAAAGCCCCAGTATGTAATGTTTTTACGTGTTTGCTGTCAAACTCTGTGTATCTGCTAACAAACTTGTCCTTTTTCATTAATATTTCTCATCACCGTCTATTCTAAATATTCTTATTAGCTTGAAATTTTACATTTTTATATTGTTAAACTGTGGTTGATGCTCCGTAGTCATGCACCATCTTGAATTGTGGTAGCTGTTTAGGGACATACAAGATTTATGGGGATGGTTCTTTCTGTGGCAGATTTGCAGATTCTGCTCTGAACTGAAATCGTCTCAAACTTAAAGTAAAACAATTATTGACAGAAATTCTTTTAGATCATGAATTAAATTTGGACAAAGTCTCTCGAGGGGGGCGGGGGCCTTTCTGGTTGCGGGCTCCTTGGGGTTCCTGTGTTCTGGGGCAGCGCCTGGATCTCTGGGACTTGGAGCTCCCCCCCGTCTCCTGCGCGTCTTTGGGGGGCGGATCTGTGGTCCCTCACACTCTCTGTTGGGCGCTCCTATAGATAAACCTTGCATGGACGGGCGCGTGTACACGCGCAGGTGCTCACATGGTGCTCTCATGGGTATGGGCTTGGGCACGTTCAACACATGTCTTGGGACTGTGGTGGGCACTCAATGCACTGTGGTATATTATCGTGTGACTGTTTAGTTAAACAATGATTGATTATGTATTTCTTCATCAGGTTGACGCAGTGATGGCTTGATTTTGTTATGTTGGTGTTGTGTCCCATTTTTTTGTTATGTTTTGCTTTTTTTCTCGTCTCGTTTTGCAGGTCTGGAAGCAGACTCTTGTTCATTGTTGTTTGTTTTTGTTGAATCCCCCCCCCACCTAACCCCCTCTCTCCCCACCTTTTCTCTTTTCCTTTCTCTTTCGCCTCTGTCTCCGTGTCTGGTCGAAATTACAAAGCATTCAAAAACAATAACAATAAAGTTTTAAATATCAGGTGCGACATTAAAAGCAGACTCTTTGATGCTCCACCTGAGACATTAAAAGCAGATGCTCTGATGCTCCACCTGAGAGTAAAACTGTAAGGCTTGTTACCAGCATTCAGACATCAATTCTGCTTGCTTCACAGCCAGACAGGACACGTTAAAAAAAAAAAAAAAAAAAAAAAAAAAAAAAAAAAAACAGTAAAAACGGTGAGAAACGCTGGCAGTGAATGAGTTAAGTGGTTTACTCTGTGTTTAAAATAAGCAGACGTTAGGATACAATTACACTAGATAGCCTTCAGTATGAGCTGAATTAATGGTTAAAGCCCCAGTATGTAATGTTTTTACGTGTTTGCTGTCAAACTCTGTGTATCTGCTAACAAACTTGTCCTTTTTCATTAATATTTCTCATCACCGTCTATTCTAAATATTCTTATTAGCTTGAAATTTTACATTTTTATATTGTTAAACTGTGGTTGATGCTCCGTAGTCATGCACCATCTTGAATTGTGGTAGCTGTTTAGGGACATACAAGATTTATGGGGATGGTTCTTTCTGTGGCAGATTTGCAGATTCTGCTCTGAACTGAAATCGTCTCAAACTTAAAGTAAAACAATTATTGACAGAAATTCTTTTAGATCATGAATTAAATTTGGACAAAGTCATTTAAAGGGAGCTTTTTGTTTTGCTTTCTTTCTGTCAGCTGACCTTCTCCTGGAGGGCTTCAACAACTACCGCTTTTTGTCAAACGGTAACATTCCCATCCCGGGTCAACAGGACAAGGAGAACTTCCAGGAGACGATGGAGGCGATGCACATCATGGGCTTCACCCATGATGAGATCGTATGTGAGTACTGCTTCCAGATGTGCGCACTCCTTCTTGTTCCTATTCATCAAATCGATGTTCGTCTTCTCTTGCATAACCTCGTGCTCTCCAAGGGCCAATGGATAATTCTTCTGACTTTCATTCTAAATTCATCAGGCATGTTGAAGGTGGTCTCTGCAGTGCTGCAGTTTGGCAATGTGGTCTTCAAAAAGGAGAGGAACACAGATCAAGCCTCCATGCCTGAGAACACAGGTAGACACCATCGACATATAAAAAGGATGGACATACCCCGCCCATTGCTCTGTGGGGGGCAGGTCATTTTGGCCGTGTCACAGGCCTCGTCACACCAAGACAATCCAAAAATGGGAAAAGAGGTGGGGCTGCTACGGTTGGAACAGGGTTGGAACCATCGACATACATATGGACAATGGGTTTCCATAGACTCCAATAATAAGTTTTTCTGCTAAAATGGGAGGTGGCCACCACCGCCATTTTGACCGTGTCACAGGTTCCGTCAGGCCCAGACAATTCCATAAAAGGGAGGAGAGGAGGAGCTGAGGGTGGGGCTGTAAGGCTGGGATCGACTGACGACACCCGGTCGAACTAGCTACAAGCTAACCTGAAGCTAACCCAAAGCTAATGCGGAGGTGGGAGCTAAGCTAACGGAGGTAGCAACCTAGCTACAACCGGAGTTAACTGTGCACAACACCAGAGCTTCTGAGTCAGAGATACACCGGGCTGACCGCTGGGTAAAACCGGGTGGAACACAGAGGTCTCCGAGAGCTCCACAAGCCGGCAGCCGCACAGCAGACAAGCGCCGCTGCGATCTGAGATGCGCAGAGCTGCCGCTGGGGAGAACCGGGTGGAAAGGTTTCCATCCCAGAGCTCCACAAGCCGATAGTCGGAACCCAGCTCCACCAACATGTTATATTTCAACCCATTTTCTAAAGTGCAGCATTATGTTAAATGCACTGGGTTTTACCCTGTTACATTTAAATTTCATGGTTAAACAGTACATGTTAAAATCTAAGCTCAGCTCGGCAGTGACCTAAAATACATAAATATAATTTTACTTACCGAAAAAAATGAAGTGGAGACTCCTTGGACGCTCTATTAGTGCAATTAATGCCACAGCAAGTCATTTTGTCCAACAATTGCACAAAAAATATCCAAAGAAGAATACACAAACACAGAGACTCAAAATCCCGGAACAGTTTCCAGGCCAGACCGAGGCTCTACTGAGGCCTTTCCACGGAGCTGGCTCTGTGGTCACGTGGGTCTGATGCTCATTAATTATACAGAACACACGCCTCGGTAGAACATGAACACTGGAACACGCCTTGGCGGCTCCCGATGATGTATCTCCTAGGCAACCGGGGCGGGGCCAAGACATCAAGGCGAGGTTCCTTGGCATTGAGAAACACCCTGTGTTTCTGTGGATGTAGAGGGGAGCTGGTTTCCTTCTGCCCCTGCTGAAGTCTTCTCCCACCTTCCTGGTTGTGATCAGTGCACCATTATCTGCCAGATGTTAGAAGACAAATAAGAGATTCTTAGCAGCAGGTGTGTGAGGAATGTCCTAATCCTGTTAAGGAGGTAGAGGCCTTAGAAACGTCTTTGCTTCCTGCAGATTGTTTTAACAGTTTAGAAGTTCTAATCAGGTGTTTAATGAACTTTCTCTAGTGGACCCTGACGTTTTACAGTATCTGCAGGTTTATCATGTTAAAGAGTAAGTGGTAACGTGCTTTGTGCTCTCTGCTTCTCAGCGGCTCAGAAGCTCTGCCACCTGCTTGGCATGAATGTGATGGAGTTCACGCGAGCAATACTCACCCCGCGGATCAAAGTGGGACGAGATTATGTTCAAAAGGCCCAGACCAAAGAGCAGGTAAGGGTCCACACTACTCTCCTTATCCCTTATCCCGAACTGCATCTCAGAAACAGCAGCCGAGTCAGATCATCAGTATAGTTTATCAGGATGTCTGTCGATAGTTTTTAGCCAGATTTAAAATCTTTCATGTTACTTTCAGAGCTTCACTTGTTAAACCTGAAACACGAGTTCCATTTTTTGTTTTAGTCGTCGTGTTTAGACTGGGCTCCATGTTTGCTAATTCGTAACATCTGTTTGGATGGGTCATGCTCACATCTGGCTGATGGATGGTCCTGGATGTTCTCGGGCTGTCTGACATCTTAGCGAGACAAATCCACCACTCTCCACAGACTAATACAGCAGCTCATTGTTTGAGTTCCCAAACGGCTCACATCACTTGGATTATTCATTATTAATGATGTGTTTTTAACACAGGCTGACTTTGCTGTTGAAGCCCTGGCCAAGGCGACGTATGAGCGTCTGTTCCGCTGGCTCGTCCACCGCATCAACAAGGCCCTGGACAGGACGAAACGGCAGGGGGCCTCCTTCATCGGCATCCTGGACATCGCTGGGTTTGAGATCTTTGAGGTGTTAATCACGATGCTTTAACAACAACAAACCCTTTGTCACACAGCAGGTACTCCAGTTTCACTTCACATTTATACTTTTCTGTCAGCTGAACTCCTTCGAGCAGCTGTGCATCAACTACACCAACGAGAAGCTGCAGCAGCTCTTCAACCACACCATGTTCATCCTGGAGCAGGAGGAGTACCAGAGGGAGGGCATCGAGTGGAGCTTCATCGACTTCGGCCTCGACCTGCAGCCTTGCATCGACCTCATCGAGAGGCCGGTCGGTCAACCCTTCTACGTGTCTGCGTTTCTAAGAGATATTCTGCTTTTGACAAATCGCCTCTTCTCAGAATAATCCCCCTGGAATCCTGGCTCTGCTGGACGAGGAGTGCTGGTTTCCCAAAGCCACGGATAAGACGTTTGTAGACAAAGTGCTGCAGGAGCTGGGAACGCACTCCAAGTTTCAGAAGCCGCGTCAGCTCAAGGATAAAGCTGACTTCTGCATCATTCACTACGCAGGGAGGGTATGTTCCTCATCACCCAATGTTAGGGTTCATGTTCTAGTAACCAGTCTTTGGAAACAAAAATGACTACAAACATTTTCTTAGTCTAAATATTAAAGGCCCGGTGTGTAGTATTTCACTTGTTTACTATGAAATTCTGTTCATCTCTTTCAAAAACTTGCCCTTTTTCACTAAAGACCAAGTTCACTGAGAAACCGTTTTTTACTTGTTATTGTTTTAAATATGATCGTCACTCTGGGTGTTTCTCAATGCCAAGGAACCTTGCCTTGGTGTCCTGGCCCCGCCCCGGTTGCCTAGGAGATACGTCATCAGGATCCACCAAGGCGTGTTCCAATGTTCATGTTCTACCGAGGCGTGTGCTCTCCATTTGTTAGCCGTTTAGCTAGCTGCGCAAGGATACACGGGAGGTGTCTTGTAGCCTAGCCTTGGTCAAAAATTACCCACAATACACTGCGGTATTTTCAAAAGGACGGCAGCTACTTCAGGGACAGTTTTCAAGTTTAAAAGTAAGTCAACTAATTTAAAATGTTTTTTTAGATCCAAAGAAGTTATCTATGGTTGGTTAGTTGCTTAGTAGTTGCAGCTTCAGTGGCTAGCGGGTAGTAACTCACTTATATTTTTAATTTAATAAACGTATACACAATTTAAAAAGTAAAAGTCTTGTTATATATTTATATTGAAACTACTACTTATAAAATATAACTTTATCCCCCGTGTCACTTGACCGCCGTGGAAGCCGCGGTCACGTGATGCAAGTCTGTTCCATTTAACTGTTTTCTTTGACCAAGGAAGTACAGTGTCCTCGTAAGCAAGGCGCCTTGACAATGAGAAACACCCTCTGGGTTTCACATGCAGGCTGAACATGAAAATAATCTTCTACCCCTATCTCCCGCATTAGCTTCTAATGGGAAATAAATGGGGAAACACACACTTTGTCTCAATTCAGACAGAGTCAGGTTTATAAAAGATAAGAAATTAATTTCTAAACAAATTAAAAACAAGACAAGTTAACCAAGACTACTGTGATAGATGAATCTAAGAGGATGGGATGTGATGTATGGTGGTTTAATGGTGTGTGTTCATCAGAACCTTGTATCTAGGAGAACTGAGTTCTGGGTGAAAAGAATTTGGTTTGCATTAAGCTATGAAGTTGGTTCTTATCAAACCCTCATCAGACGCAATCTGTGTGTCTACCTCACCCTTTCTTTGGAGACCCTCTTCGCGGATCCAGAGGTCAGGGAGGTCAGATGACCTCTGGGCACCGAGGTTTGGTAGATTAACCGCAGCACAGACTCTCCAGTCCAGTGATGTCTCCGAGTCACAACAGATAGATAAAATTGTTTGCATCTAGAACAGCTGTTTCTGAATAGCTGAAGGAACCATTTTGCTGTGTCAGCTGTAGCGTGTAGCAGGGTTTTGACAGCTTGTCAAGAATGCTCTGGGTTGAAGAGGGCTCGCTAAGGATGGCCTGCCCATAGCTTGCTCTAGAACTATCTCACCGTCAAGTGAGCTCTGTTTTACTATTCTCATATTATGATTTCTTGGCCAACCGGGACGGACCATGTTAAGGGGTGTTAACAAGCAGACCTCAGAACATCACGCCTTGCGTCAGATACAGGAGTTGTGATTCGTGGAACAGAAAGCAGGATATTAGCTTAACCTTGTCATCGTCACGTGTCTGAGTGTGTGAGCTGTCAGAAAATAGTGATTCACTTATTAAACCAACAACAGCAATTCAAGCACAGATTAATCAACCTTATTGATTTAAGCACAGATTAATCAAAACATAATTATTAATTCATATAACATTTGTTCATTCATTTCACGATTGATTAACTCTTATGAGCTAAAATAGTCACTTTATTCAGAGGCATGAGAATCTTGTAGAAGTGATAAGGGAAGCTTAGGGCTTGAAACGGGAACAGTTTGTTGACAACGTGTTATCATGTGTTCCGAGCTGCAGAGAGGCCCGGACTCCAGCTGATAGAATGGCAGGATCCGGCAGATTAAAGGCAACAAATGTAGACTGAGGAGGTCAAACTGTACATGAAAAACTGACCATTTGTGGACGTTACACTCCTAAAACAGGAGCGCAAGAGCTTTTTTTCCCTACAGAGATCGACTCACGAGGCATTAATTTATACCAGAGAACACAGCAGATGTGTCTTTAATATTTCTCTACACATTAGATTACATTTGTAGTGGTCTCTGGTATAAATGATGCCCAGTGAGTCGACCTCTGTGGAAATAAAGCTCTGGCACTCCTGTTTGAGGAAGTATAAGTTTCCCCGAGGGGCAGAAAAGGGCAGGATTTGGAGTCTTACTCATTATTATTTCCTGACATTTGGACATCTCTCCTCTGATTGGCTAACAGCAACACGACTCTACCAGTGACTCTGTTTGCTACGTTGATGTTTTATCTCCACAAATAGCACAAGCCTGGAGGAGTTCTGCTGTGTGGTGGAACGAGATATTCTATTATTTTATTTCACAATTTCGTGCCCAGAAACCTTCCAGCCTAGATTTTTCACAGACTTTGACTCCTCTGGTGAAATCAGTGATCCAGGTCACAGCCTAAAAACCAAAGACCAGTTGTTGCACAGCTGCTGCTCCAGGAACCCACATCTGGTTCAGATCGGTGTGAGACGGAGTTTCTGATGCCTGTTGGTTACGTAACTAAGACATTCAATGTTCACCTTTCTGTGGAGGTCTGGCATCTGTAAAAAGAAACTGATCCTCCACAGCATTCCTGGAAAGGCTCCCGTCAGAGAGAAAAACATAAAATATATTACCTTTAGAGCAGCAGCTTAATTATGGTTTACTGTTTCCTTTTATTCTAGTTTTTCCACATTTATTTGCAAACTGAAAGGACATTCAGTCCTACACACGATCCAAAATGTCAGATTCTTTCAGGTATCTGGATCCAGGATTACGTTGGAATTTCACAAAATAAATCCAACATGACAGGGATTCTGAAGAGGGACGTAACTACAAACACATCATTTTTTTGGTTTTGAATTAAACCCACATGAAGACTTTCATCTCAGGCTGCTGAATGTGCCGTTACGTCCGATGTTTAAAACTCACAAATGCGTCATCACAGATGTGCTTTTAGCAGGTAAAACATAAAAGATCATTACATCCTGGCTCCGTTTTTATTATTTAGACATTTTCATGTTGAATTCTACAGGGATGTAAGAAAAATATCGATATGGCAATATATTGTGTTATTATTTCCTTCAATATTATATCGATATTCAAAGCCGTGTATCGAATTTTTGGAATAATTTACTTGAAAACATTTGTGTGTTTTCTTTTCTTTTGGTGCAATTCAAACGCCGACCGCTAGTTGGCAGCAGTGTGTAGTGTTTTTTTTCCACCACTGCAATGTAAATCCCTCTGTTATTCATTCATTCATTCATTCATTCATTCATTCATTCATTCATTCATTTATGTTTAAAGCACTTTAAAACACCCAGCACAGGAACAAAGTGCTGTACATAAAATACATTAAAACAATAGAATAAACAGAAAGCAGCAAAGAGAAATAAATAAAACACATGAGACATAAAATTAAAGCAGCCCAATAATAAGAATAAAAACTAGTTAAAAACAGCATTGAAATACTCAAAAACAGCTAAAATAAGTCAAAACTAAAAATAGCATGGTTCAGATACCTCACGTTAAACATATTACGTATCGATTAGGACTGTTTATTGAAATTTCCTACAATAATTTCAGTCAAATATCGTCTGGCTGAATGAATCGCAATATATCGTGATGTATCGTATCGTCTCCCCTGTATCGCGATACTTATCGCCAGAATTTCACCTGTACACATCCCTAGAGTTCTGACTGAAATTCAGATGGTTTGTGTATATTAAGGTTCTTTTGTTTTCCTGTAATCATTTCTCCAAACCTTAAAAATCCAAGATGCTGGTGAAGGTTCTCAGTCATCCGGGTCATGGTAATCTAAAGAGGTTCGAATGAAGGCAACTGGATGTATTTGGTTTCTTGAAGACGTTTCGCGCCTCATCCGAGGAGCTTTGTCAATTCTGGAGGGTCAAAGTTATAAACTGTAGCTGTCTGTTGGTGCTTAACGAGAAGAAACTACACATGAATACCCCTCCTCCATACCCCTCAAGGGTACCCATAATACAGCTCTTAACCCAGTTCCAAAAAAGTTTCACTCTATGTCACACCCTCCTGTTCTTAATCAAATAAACCGTTCCAATACAATCAGGCCTAAAGACATCGATGACTCCTCGGGGGGTAGGGAGGAGGGTCTTCATTTGTAGTTTCAGCTAATCAAGCAACAACAGACAGCAACAGTTTATAAGCTTCACTCTCATATTCTAGTCAGAATTCACAAAGCTCTGCAGAAAGTCTAGCTGCTTTCGTTGAAAGATTTTCGCTGTGATTCTGTTTGGGATGTTTGAGCAGAACTGGCCAGATAACACCCACGATCCTTTGTGTTTCTGCTCAGGTGGACTATAAAGCTGACGAGTGGCTCATGAAGAACATGGATCCTCTGAACGATAACGTTGCCACCCTTCTTCACCAGTCTACTGATAAATTTGTGGCTGAACTCTGGAAAGATGGTCAGTTTATTAAAGCTCACTAAAATTTTAGTTGCACAACCCTGATAATGGTTTTGACTTGTTGCCTAACAGGAAGGTTTTATTTTGTTTAAAATGGGTGTTTGCCTAGCGCTGCTGGCGGTTCATTACTCCAGCTCTCTATGTGACAGCACACCTCCCGTTCGGCCGTCATCTTTTGTGCGGGGTTCAGGGACCACAAAGAGGGGGGCCGCGGGCCGCACATGGCCCGCAGGCCAACTATTGAGGACCACTGCTCCAGCGTGTCCTGGGTCTTTCTTTAGGTCTCCTCCCAGTTGGACGAGTCCGGAAAACCTCACCAGGGAGGCATCCAGGAGGCATCCTGATCAGATGCCCGAGCCACCTCAAATGGCTCCTCTCGATGTGGAGGAGCAGCAGGTCCAAGCCCCTCCTGGGTGACCGAGCTTCTCACCCTATCTCTAAGGGAGAGCCCAGCCACCCTGCGGAGAAAACTCATTTCAGCCGCTTGTATCCGTGATCTCGTTCTTTCGATCACTACCCAAAGCTCGTGACCATAGGTGAGGGTAGGAACGTAGATCGACCGGTAAATCGAGAGCTTCACCTTCTGACTCAGCTCTCTCTTCACCACGACAAATCGGTGCAACGCCCGCATCACTGCAGAAACAGCACCAATCGGTCTAACGATCTCACACTCCATCTTTCCCTCAGTGGTGAACAAGACCCCGAGATACTTAAACTCCTCCACTTGGGGCAGGACCTCATCCCTGACCTGGAGAAGGCATTCTACTCTTTTCCGACTCAAGACCGTGGTCTCAGATTTAGAGGAGCTGATATTCAAAAGCAGTGTATCGAATTTTTGGAAGAATTTACTTGAAACATTTGTGTGTTTTCTTTTCTTTTGGTGCAATTCAAACGCCGACCGCTAGTTGGCAGCAGTGTGCAGTGTGCAGTGTTTTTTTTTCCACCACTGTAATGTAAATCCCTCTGTTATGGTTCAGATACCTCATGTTAAACATATTACGTGCTTCACACTCGGCTGCGAACCGCTCCAGCGAAAGCTGAAGATCACGTTCTGATGAAGCCAGAAGACCAGGATCTGTTTAAGTGTATTAAAAGCCTAAAATTCTGTATAATTAATGAGCATCAGACCCACGTGACCGCAGAGCTAGCTCCGGGGAAAGGCCTCAGCCTGAGCCTCAGCCTCGCCTGAAAACTGTTCCGCCAATTTCAGTCTCTCACCTTAGACCATTAGTTGTAGCGTTAGTGCGTTCTTTTTGGATATTATTTGTGCAATTGTTGGACAAAATGACTTCCTGTGACATTAATTGCACTAATAGAGCGTCCAAGGAGTCTCCACTTCATTTCTATCGGTAAGTAAAATTATATTTATGTATTTTAGGTCACTGCCGCTCTTGCGCTAGCTGAGCTTAGATTTTAACATGTACTGTTTAACCATAAAATTTAAATGTAATAGGGTAAAACCCAGTGCATTTAACATAATGCTGCATTTTTGAAAATGGGTTGAATTATGACATGTTGGTGGAGCTGGGTTCCGAATATCGGTATGGCCCCCTCCCCTCAGCGGCAGCTTGGCGCATCTCTGATCGCAGCGGCGCCTGTCTGCTGTGCGGCTGCCGGCTTGTGGAGCTCTCGGAGACCTCTGTGTTCGACCCGGTTTTACCCAGCGGTCAGCCCGGCGTATCTCTGACTCAGAAGCTCTGGTGTTGTGCACAGTTAACTCCAGTTGTGGCTACGTAGCTACCTCCGTTAGCTTAGCTCCCACCTCTGTGTTAGCTTTGGGTTAGCTTGTAGCTACATCACTTCAGTTCGACGGGTGTCGTTATTTGATCCCAGCCTTACAGCCCCACACTCAGCTCCACCTCTTTTCCCTTTTATGGAATTGTCTGGGCTTGATGGAACCTGTGACACAGTCAAAATGGCGGTGGCGGCCACCTCCCATTTTGGCACAAAAACTTATAATTGAAGCCTATGGACATGAATTGTCCAATATATATGTCGATGGTTCTGACCAATAAAACCCTAGAACCAAAAGGACTTCCTTTTTCACTAACATCCCGGACTGTAACCTCTCAGCCGTTTAGCTAATGCTGCAGCGATTGTTTGTTGTCGTATAAATGATGGAGTCCGGATTCGCTGGCCTGCTTCCTGTTTCTCTCTCACTCCTGTCCTTTCTCTCTCTGTTGCTGTAGACATCCAGACGTTTCAGAGAGCCTCTTTCTATGACAATGTGTCTGGGCTTCCTGAAGCTCCAGGTGACTGTTAGGGACGAGCTTTGTGTCCCACTGGCTGCTCGTTGGCCCGCTGTGATGTCATCACCACCCCATCCAACTGCTGCCCTCTAGCTTTGCATGGCTCGGCTCTGATGGAACATTGAAGCTTCAGTTATCACAGGAAGTCGCTGCTGGACTCCCACATGTGTTGGCATTCACACATCTCACCCCAGAGTGAAACCAGCTCGATAAATATTTAAAATGTCAGACATTATCCAGATTCGTAGGTCTAGGCCTGATGGGATCCATGCTCAGAGGTCAGATACCCTCTAATCACGCTCCAGTACCGGGATGAACTCGGGTTTAAGAGCTCCCCACAGTCCCACCAGAATCATCTGCAGATGGAAAGTGAAGAAAGCATTCATCCAACCTCATTGGATCCAGATCCAATCTGAGTTTCTGATATATTAGTTCTGTTGTTCATTGGACTGAAGGAGTGTAACTTTCTCTGAATGGCAGATGATCTTATTCTACTTTCTGACATTTATACGAACGAAAATACGAGCCATGTGCTCATCTAGATGCAGATATGTGTAGACTCAAACGTTCTGCCAGTGCTTTAAGGTAAATCTGGGTCAAAGTTTAACAACACACTTTAGTGTTATTCCAGCGAAGGAAACCGGGACGAACGACGTCTTTGTGACAAGATTTTAACCATTTTCTGAAGCGCTCAGTCCTCAGTGGCGTCGCAGGGAGCAGGTGTCTAACTCCATCAGGCGAGAGACGTCCTGGGGACATCCCGGACAGGCCTCAGTCCATCACAGGGACTCGTGCCTAGTTTAGAGCAGGGGTGGGGAGCCCTGGTATCCCACATGTTTTAGTTGATGCTCTGCTCCAACACTCCTGGAGTGGTTGAGTCACCTGTTCAGCAGCTCATCAGAAGCCTGTTAGTCATCTGATGATTAAAATCAGGTGAGTTTAAAGTTCAAGTTCGATTAGTCATCACACACTCCGCATGTGACCCATCCCCGTGCAGAGCGGTGAGCTGCAGCAGTGGCTGCGCTCGGGCACCATTTGGTGGTCTAACCCCCCCAACCCCTTAAAGCTGAGTGTCAAACAGGGAGGCATCGGGTCCCGTTGTTAAGGTCTTTGGTACGACCCGACCGGGACTTGAACCCGATCTCCCAGTCCCAGGGCACTTGCAGTGGTGAGGATTAGCTACATTCATCAAATGACCAATAAGATGTGATATTTCATATAAATATGAATTATCAAACTTATTGGTCTTTGAATATTAGATTTAATATCATTCAAAGTTCTTTGGCTTTTCAGCGAACACACACTTCATATTAGTTCAGACAGAGTCAAGTATTTAGTCTTAAAAATGAATTTATTTCTATTTTCCTAAACTAGTGATTATACAGGACAAAGTATGAATGAAATGGTGGAATGTGAGCTAGACGTTTGAAGAAAACCTGGTGAGTATCTGAGAGATCTTGTGTCTGAGTTGTAAAATCTGTTTGGCTGTATGGTTTTTTGGAAGTTCTGTCGGAGGTGGGAATTGAAGCTCCTTCTGACAGGAGACTCTGCCAGACGTTCCCAGCAGACCCTCGCAATATGTTTGGGCCTGCCTGGTTCTTCCCCCACCATCTGAGCCAACTCACCACCAGGTAGTAGTCAGTGACAGCTCCGCCCCTCTCTTCACCCGAGTCTCAAAGACATGCGGCTGCAGGTCAGACGAAACGACAACAAAGTCTATCATCGAGCTGCGGCCTAAGGTATCCTGGAGCCAAGAGCACATGTGGACACCTTTATGTCTGAACATGGTGTTCATTATGGACAATCCATGACTGGCACAGAAGTCCAATAACAAAACACCACTCGAATTCAGATCGGGGGGCCGTTCCTCCCAACCACACCTCTCCAGCTCTCACTGTCGTTGCCTACGTGAGCGTTAAAGTCCCCCAGCAGAACGAGGGAGTCACTGGAAGGAGCGCTTTCCAGCACCCCCTCCAAGGTCTCCAAAAAGGGTGGGTAGTCTGAACTGTAGTTTGGTGCATAAGCACAGACCACAGTCGGAACCCGTCCCCCCACACGTACGCGGAGGGAGGCTACCCTCTCATTCACCGGGGTAAACCCCAATGTACAGGCACCAAGATGGGGGGCAGCTAGTATGCCCACCCCTGCTCGGCGCCTCTCAGTGGGAGCAACTCCAGAGTGGTAGAAAGTCCAACCCCTCTCAAGGAAACTGGTTCCAGACCCAGAGCCACGCCTTGACGTCAGTCTAACTATATCTAGTCGGAACCTCTCAACCTCACACACCAACTCAGGCTCCTTCCCCACCAGAGAGGGGACCTTCCACGTGCCGAGGTCCCCGCCCTCCTACCACCCGTCACACAATGCACCCGACCCCTTTGGCCCCTCCCACGAGTGGTGAGCCCATGGGAAGGGGGACCCACGTTTCCTCATCAGGCTGTGCCTGGCTGGGCTCCACGGGTGAAAGCCCGGCCACCAGGCGCTCGCCAACTTGCCTTACCTCCAGGCCTGGCTCCAGAGGGGGGGCCGGTGACCCACATCCGGGCAAGGGTCACCGGGTCTTTGGGCTGCTCTTTGTCTGATAAATAATAATATTTTTGTGTTCATACTGATAGATTACATCACTAGAATCAACATTCAGGCTCATTTCTTCATACGGCACCAGGTTGTCAGATTGACCTGTGAGGTCAAAGTTCACTTCTGGTCATTTTGATGAAATGCTTGGCCTTTTAATACGCTAAAAGCACATTGCTGTACAATTATTATTCTCATGTTGCTCCAGAACCCTCGCTGTTCACATCCTTTTAAGCGATTACAGGAAAGTATGGTTCCTTAAAAGTAAAGAAAAACAACAGATGTAAACAAAAAAGTTGGTTCCTTCCACTGAAACAACTTAAAACCAACAAAAGTAATAATTCATAAATGTTTGCTTCAAATCAGCCGATAAAAACCAAACGATGGTTTTGAATTTTTGTTTAATCATTAAAACACAAACTGAAAAGATAAAAGCTAGAAGGCCACAGTGTTGCTTCTCTGACTAGACAGATGTTTGAGGAGGTGGCCTCGAGAAGAAATGCATCAACATTAGATGTGTGGATGGGAGGATAGGAGCCATGGTAACCAGACATCCCTAGATGACTTCAACTTATGGAAGAACAACGTGAAAAGCAGACTGGAGTCACAGAAACAACTTGTTTTTGCTTGTTTTATAAAAACTGTGACTGCTCCATGTTTACGTCACCTGTACGGTGAATAAACGCACCTGGTTGGGCTTTAGTCACACCTAGTGCCACACGCTGTCCGTTTTCATGCTTCGTCACACATTCAGAAAGCAGCAAACCCAACAAATCCGTTTTTGTTTGCACCATTTTCTTATAAACATGCAGGTTTCTTTTTAAAAACTCAAGTTTTGGCTTTTTTTGTTCGTGTAACCCGGACAAAGAAACCTTAAACAGCTGCAGCTGAGTCGCCCGCGTCCCTTTTTAGTGGATCTTCTCTGATGCAGTCGTGTCTTCTGCTGATGCTTTTACCCCCAGTGGACCGCATCGTGGGTCTGGACCAGGTTGCGGGCATGAATGAGACAGCTTTTGGTGCCGCCTACAAGACAAAGAAAGGCATGTTCCGCACCGTTGGGCAGCTGTACAAGGAGCAACTGTCGAAGCTGATGGCCACGCTCAGGAACACAAACCCCAACTTTGTCCGCTGCATCATTCCCAACCACGAAAAAAGGGTGAGTGTGGTGCAACGGAGATCCGTGGAATCTCGTTAGATTCTGTGGGATGGCTGCAGTTTTAGAATGAGGCTGACACGGTTATCGTCATGGTTACTAATGTGATCCTTCACCGTGCTTTTTCAGGCAGGGAAACTGGACCCTCACCTGGTTCTGGACCAGTTGAGATGTAACGGTGTGCTGGAAGGGATCCGCATCTGCAGACAGGGATTCCCCAACCGCATCGTCTTCCAGGAGTTCAGACAGAGGTGACGTTTTATCAGATAAAGCTCCAACTTAGGGGGAATTCTCAGCCCTTTTTGCATGATGTCACTGTGTAAAGGTTTAATTAAAATTATCAATAATAATAATAATTATAATTTTTGTAGATGGCTTCCTGAAGGACCTCTGTTCGTGGGATCAGAGTTTATGTCCTACAGGACTGATAAGCTAACGGCTAGTTTGAACGCAGCAGAAACTACTCAAATGGGCAAAAATCCCTTTGAACCCTCTGGGGTCTATGGACGTGCGTCCGTGTCGTTTGAACAGGTCTGATTTGGGACGCCGTAGCAGCGAGGCTCCGCCTCCCTGAGTTTCAGTTTCATTTCAGGTTTGAAAAGAAGAAGAAAGAAGAAGAAAATATCATTTCTATAGCGCCTTTCAAGATAAAAAATCACGAGGCGCTTCACAAAAACAAAAAATGTAAAAATATAAAAAAGCATTTAGAAAATGTTTAAAAATATATTTAAAATGAGCAAAAATAGGCAATTGGGATTTAAAAGAAAAAATATTAAGAAAGAGAGAGAGTGAATAGGAAAGAGGGAAATCAGTGGATCCTGAAGAAGGTGGAATAGGTGGGGAGAGCAGAATAAAGAGAGAATGGTGAACAGTGTTGGGAGTAACGTGGTACAAAAGTAATTAATTCCTGTAATGCATTGCTTTTTGCTGCAATGTGGTAGTGTAAGGCATTACAGGGAAAGAAAATGGTAATATTTACTCGGTACAGTTGTCAGTAACGCGGTAATTACAATGCATTTTTAAACCCAGAATCAAGCTGCGTTTCTTAAAAATTCAAATAGCGGGAAACCCGAAAAAAGTTCCAGTATCTACATATATTACGTCATTTATGGAGTCAGCTTTGCAGGCAGAGAGGACGCAGCGGTAACGGCTCAAATACTCCAGCTGCGCGCGGCCGCTGTAACATTCACAAAATCGCTCCACTAAAACAAAATAATTCACCTGCGATCGTTCATATCAGCGCATGTTCTCTGGTATTCTGTACTTTTCTGACGTGCTTTGCCTCAGCTGAGTTAATCTGGGCTCCGGTGATTTCAACTCACTGCTGCTGGAGCGCCGCGCATGTGAAGATCCCTTTGGCTGATCAGTTAGAAAGTAGGAAATCTAGGAAACGGGTTTTCTGGAAGACGGAGAGAACATGCAGCATGCAGGATGGTTAGAGAGAGAAAGGGCAGGAAATTATTCAAATAAAATCAAGAAAACAAAACAAAGTGCTTGAAAAGAAAAAATGTAGGTAGATTTATCCCCAATACTCATTTTTACCAGTGAAAAGCAATAATATATAGGCATTTAATATTTATACATGTGATAGAATCAGATCACCCCAGAAAGCCGGTCCCACATCCAGGGCCGTATCAAGGCATTTGGGGACCAAGGCAAATATAGGCTTGGAACCCCCACCACCTCACTCGCCGCTCAGTTAATCTAAGATGACAGCGTGCTGAGAGTACAGATTGTTGTTGCTTTTATTACATAAACAATCGTTCTAAAGAACTGTTTTTAACAGCAATCCTAGCTCAGACACCACATCACCTTCCACCGGATGTGTCATGAGTTCACCATGCATCAGATTACCAAACTCACACTGAAGTTGTTTTGTTGAAAGTAACTTAGAGTAATGCAAAAGTAGTGTAATGCCTTACATTTTAAAATCAGTAATAATGTAATGTAATGAATTACTTTAAAATGAGGGTAACAAGTAATCCCTAACCCTAACCCTAACCCTAGCTGTGCTCTCATTAAGAAAACGAGAACTAACCATACGGCGAGCAGGAGGTGGGGACGCAGAAACTGACAAGTTAAAGAAAATGCAATGGTGATCTGAAATATAAATGTCCTCAGGACAAACACTGTCAGCATTTAGACTCAGGGTAAAAACAAGGTCTAGAGTGTGCCCCCTGGTGTGTGTGGAGCCAGAAACATGCTGGGTAAAGCTGAAGGTGTCCATGAGGCTGGAGAAATTCATGGCAAAGTGATCAGAGGGATCATCAACGTGCATGTTAAAGTCACCAACAATCACCAGTCTGGACAGCTTCACAGTGGAGGATAGAAAGTCACTAAACTCCTGAAGGAAAGAACTGTTTAGACCAGGTGGACGATAGACCACAGCACAGTAGAACGGGTCCTTACGCCCGACTTTAATCAGCTGCAGTTCAAAGGAAGCAAAGTGACCAGAGGTTGTAGAGCTACATGGAAGATGGTCTCTGAAAACAACAGCTAGGCCTCCACCATGACCAGAACCCCGGGGCTGGCTAAGAAAAGAATAACCACTCGGGCAGAGTTCAATCAGAGCAGAATAATCAGATGTTTGCTGCCAAACTTCAGTCAGAAACAGAAAATCCAGGTTTTTAGACAGAATTAGATCATTGAGCAGGAAGGACTTATTGTTAACAGAGTGGGTATTTAATAAAGCCATGCTGAGTGAGGTGGAGGAATCAGAAACTACAGAAACAGCTGGAGTTAGTGGGTGTAAATTGGCAGGGTTAGATCCACGGTGTTTATAAAAAACACTTATGGGAGGGAACAGGAGGAGAAACCACTGAGGAATGAGGATAAACCGACCTTAAAAAACTTGGACGGATGAACCGCGTCCCAACGCGGCCTGGCGGGAATGCGGAAGTGGCGCTCAGGTCACCAAACAAAGGACAAGAAGCTAGAAGATCGCGCCGATGTTTACCAGATAAACCACGCTTTAAGAGAAGTCTTATTCTTACCTGGATTCCTGCTCGTTTACCTCTTTTCCTCTAACGTTCTCCCGGGACCGCACAAACATAGCCGGAGGTGCGCAGCTTGTGACCGTTGTTTGGCTCTGGGCCAGTGCGCCACTCAGGTAAACAAACAGGATGATACATCCTCTGTGCATCTTGGGCAATCGTGAACGAACGGAAGGACAAAAGAGTCTGGCGATCGTAGGAGATGGTATAGGGACACTACTGAAGAGGATCGCAGACAGGAGCAAGGTGGAAAAGAGGAGGTTAGGGGAGAAAAATTTGAAAAAGTGGCCGGTGACTGCGGGTAAGCCAAGCACAGGCGCCATCTTGTTGCCGACCGGAAGCCGACCTCCAAAAGGAGATCATACACCCCCGTTGTTTTACTTTGTTAATAGGCCTAGTAAAAGCGGAGTTATACTAAACTGAAGAAACAGCCTTTTTTTAGACAGTCAGAGAAGTTGTGATCATGAGCTGTCACGGCGCGCAGCAAGCTGTGAGACGGACGTCGACCTTAGATATCGGAGCGATCTGAGACTAAAAGGTTGTAGCTGAGTGGGCTTTTATGTATACATGAGGATGAGAACGATGAACGCCCAGCAGCTCAGCTGTTTTTTAGCTCAAATCAAAACTTTATTTTATTTTATTTATACAGCACTTTTCATGCACAGGATGCAGCACAAAGTGCTTAACAGATCAAAATGACCCATGGAACCCACATTCGCTCCCTTTCCCACACTCAAAACAATTGTGACAGATTCACCCCCAATCCACAAACCATTCCCAGGCGCACGCACACACACACACACACACACACACACACACACACACACACACACACACACACACACTCGTACACATAATACATTAAAAGACCACAGTACACACTAGGCTGAGCTCAGATTGGACAGGTAATGAAAGACGCCATCATGGGAGCCATCTGCCTCGACAGCAGCAGATCGACGGCAGCAGCCAAGACACCAATCCATGGAGCCCTGGGAGGGAGGGTGGCAACCCCCACCACTACCTGGGCACTACCCTAGGAACGACCCAGCCGCCGCCGCCACCACCGACCACCGGTCCCGAGGCAGAGGGCTCCACAGAGCAAACACTGGAAGGATTAAAATACGTGACATGTAAAATAACGAGCTAAACTGGAAAATATGTAAAATGTATGATGTAAAATACCCAATAAAATGTGATTATACAAATAAAACAACATAAATGTGTAACACAACAGTAATTAAAATAAATAAATAAGTAAAACAAGCAATGCAATAAATAGTCATCAGTTAAAAGCTAAACTAGCTGGAAGAAAGGAGCGTGAGACTCGCAGCTGGAGTCTGACGCCACAGTGAGGGTTTGGATGACCAGTCCTTCCTCTGGGACACTAAAAAGAGAAGCTGGCTCATAACAAGGAAGATGAGGTCCTGGCATAGAAGAAGCTGCTCTCATACCGCACCTGTGTTGTTTCTCCTTCTCCAGGAGTGAGGCTAAGCCTCGCCCCCTCCGTGATGCTTGTAAGACAGGAGAGGAAATAAAAGGTTTATCAGGAGCAAGCAGGTTCTAGCCATGGAGAAAAACAGTCCAGCTATTCCTCCCTTAGTCCAAATGATCTTCTTTATTGCTTTTTCTACATGGAGAAGCCAGGCCTGATGCTCCTCTGCTTAGTGGACACAAACTGCTTCTTGGAGGGGCAAAAATAAACTGAGTTATCTTGGAAAACAAAAGAATCCAATTTGTATGTAAATAATACAATTGGTTCAAATATTGATGCTAGATTAGCTTAAATGTTCATTATTTTTGCACAATTATGCATCTTTTTGCCCTGTGTGAATAATTGTTCGAAGACTAATAACTTTTTAAATTTGTGTTATTTGCTATATTTATTCATATTTTTTGCATATGTATAGCCCAGAATGCCATTCTAAAAAAACACATTCCTCATACATGTTTGTGGGTTTCACAGTAAAAAAAATTACTTTCTCCCAACTCAGATTTTATGTTTTTGAGTAACTTAAAGAGCAAGTCACCCCCAAATCAACTTTATTTTTCTGATAAACTATATAAATGTGTGTCTAATCGTGCTGCAGACACGTGTAGTCAATAGTTTTGCACTTTAGTGCATTTTAGTTATAATTTTAATGTTCTGCCTAAAACTGTTAGTGTTGTGCCGTTGTCAGGTAAAAACTCTGCACTGCAGTTGAATTTAAATCTGCCATCGCTGTTGGCTAAGAGGTACCCTAGAACGTTAGCTGGTACCATATGATGTCACAGTGTCGTTGTGAGCCTGTCGCTGTGCCTCAATTCAGGGTCTGCATCCTTCGAAGGACCCTGCCTACTCGGCCGACGTGGGCTGGGTCCTCCGTCGGCCGAGTAGACCGGATGTTAACGGCTGTGAATTTGGACAGGCGTAGCCTTCATGAATTCCCGCCACTCCCTCGGCGAACGTTCCGTCGCCTAGCAACCGTGGAACCGCTGAGCAGAAGGGAGAAGGAACTTTAAACGATGGAGCTCGAAGTTTTATTTAGCTTTTTAATCATTTCCTTGACCGTTGAAGAGGTAATTCAGAGAAAATACTTTCAACAAGCTGAGCAAAGAAGTGATAATAGTTTTTAATACTTTCTAAGGGTCTTAATTTGACCAAAACCCATTTATCACCTTTTAAGACTTTTCAGACCCAGCGGGATACCCTCTAGTAAACAACTCTCATTTGTA